TTAGATCTTTGCTGTTTGCAGTGAGATGACTTTGTGAATCTCCATAGCAGCGGTTCTCAACCTTCCTAATGCCGCGACCCCTTAATACAGTTCCTCATGTTGCGGTGACCCCACAACCATAAAATTATTTTCGTTGCTACTCTAGAACTGTAATTTTGCTACTGTTATGAATCGTAATGCAAATATCTTTTTGTTTTCCGATGGTCTTAGGCAACCCCTGTGAAAGGGTCGTTCAACCCCCAAAGGGGTCGCGACCCACAGGTTGAGAACCGCTGCTCTATAGGGATCTAACAGGTAGAGTTGTTTATAGCAGAAACTTAATCCCAGGTTCCTGAGAGGCACCTCTTTACAGACCACACCCATCACCCATCACCTAGAATATCAATCTGCCTGTTGCCAGCCTCCCTGGGGAACACTGACCCTGTCCAAAATTTCATTCACAAACGAGGCTAGCAGCTTGTTCACTCTGTGACCATCTTGGCTTCATGGTCACAGAATATGACAAGATAGGAGGCAGTGACAAGTCAGGGATGCATAAACCACAGTGAGAATCTGGCCTGTTTTCTTTCTTTTTGGTAAAATTGAGCAGAGGCCCAGAAGCGTTTTGTTGTTGTCTGCTTGATTTTGTTTGAATTTCACAGAAATTGCTTTGTCCTTGCTTTAGACATAGTTAGTCAACATTAATAAACATTTATGGAATGAACAATAAATGTTATTTGCATTGAAAAAATAAATGCTTGATATTATTGTTATAACTGTTATAACAGTAGTTCTTATTTATTGCTACTTAGTGCTGATTATTTTTAGGGTTTTTATGGGCCAGGTATTAACACTTTGCATGGCTTATCCTAATTAATTTTCATAATGGTTCACTAATTCTGAACTTTTGTCCCCAGATGTTTAAGTAATTGTTAAGTAGTTGTCATGTGACAGAGGTGGGGTCTGAACTGCTTGCTGCCCAAAGCGTAGCTTTAAGATCGCTCTCAACCCTTGCAGCTAAGTCCCAAGAAAGAACAGCTGTGTACTCTTCAGCAAGAGGCCTCAGCATCTTCTCTGGGAAGCCCCTTGGCAGCATTTGCAAGGGGTCAGGGGATTTCAATTATGCCAAGGGAAGGTCTGCAAAATCAAACCCAGGAATGGAGGAAGCTCCAAGTTAATGCCATTTGATGGCTTCTGTGTAAATGCATCAGAAAGCATCACAGAAAAAGCATCCTCATTGCGCCTGACACAGCAAGAGTCACCTTATGGAATTCAGGCATGGTAGGCTTTAAGTAAGAATGTAAAAGGATGCCAGCCACAGTGTTCTTTCCTCTCCTCCTAGGAGGAGATGCCAGATCTAAAAGTTTTCTTCCTGACTTGACCTTGTTCCTTTCACTAAGCCATTCACTCACTGATATTAAAATGCTAAGGAAAATACCCCTGAACTGGCTGATTTTTTTGCACGTCAAAATGATAATTCTACAGCTGCCAGCTCTGGTTTCCTGTAGCTTAGGTTTTTGTTAAAAACCTCACACCAGTTGATCAAACCCTGAGAAGCCAGGCAAATTTAAAATCATAGCCACCCAGATAGAAATTAGTGAGGTGGTTATCAGTAAATAGAAAATAAGTTACATGCAATACTTCCAAATATATAGGTTAGTGAAATAAGTGCTTAATTTCCTTAGTGAAAACTAGACCTTTGATTAATGTTAAGATTTAACTGGCTATTTCAACATTAGTCATTTTTAAAAAAAAAACTATTGAAAGAACTCTCAATCAGAACTCTCATTCATGTAACAATTTTGAGCACTTTTTCATGTATTAATCCATTTAATTAAATCTTCAGAAGAACTTTGCTAATTGGTATTATTTTCAACCCTATTTTGCATTTGAGGAAACTGAGGTCTAAAGAAATTGACTTGCTCAGCTAGAAAAATGACAGTGTGAAAATCACAACCCAGTTTTTCCTCAGCATAAATTTACTGCTCTTTACAAAACTGAGCTGCTTCTCAGTAGAGCTTAAAAGTGTTGGCTTGCACTAATAAAACTGATATATTTCCCTTTTTTTTCTGAACATTTGTACATTCATCTATAGCATAGCCTTGGTCTAGGACCTTTGTTGTTCCATGAGACTTCTAATGGCAACTTCAATATCAGACCCAGAGAACAGCGTTCATTTATTACCAATTAACTGGGGCAGAGGAAATGGGTCAGAGAGGTCACAGATAACTCCCAAGTTACCAATGAAACAAAATTAGGGTCACTTCTTGATTATGCAAGAATGCATTTACCATTTTATGCCTGAGTCATGTTAGGCACCTGTAATTATGTACTCAGGCTGCCATAACAAAATGCCAAAAATAATTTGGCTTAATGAGTGGCTGAGAAACAGAAATGTGTTTCACGCAGTTCGGGAAGTTGGTAAATCCAAGATCAAGGTGCTGGCTTGCAGACAGCTGCCTTGACACCATGTCCTCACACAGCAGAGAGAACTCTGGTCTCTCTTCCCCTTCTTGTTAGGTTGCTATACCATTATAAGGGCCCTCAGGACCTCATCTGACCCTAATTATCTGCCAAAGGCCCCTACTCCAGTATGGTCTCATTGGGGTTTGGGGTTCAGCATTTGAATTTTTTTTTTTTTGGTGGGGAGCGACAAAGTTGTTTACAGTATTGATCATCAATAATAGTTGCCTCTAGCAGTGTAAAACATTATCCTGAAACTTAGTGGCTCAAAACAAGACAAATGTATTTGCGTCATAAATCTGTAATTTGGGCAGGGTTTTGTGGGGATGAACTCATCTTTGTCCTACTTTTCACCAGTTGGGACAGCTCAGAGGCTGGCCCTAGAATCATCTGAAACTTCCTTAACTCACTTGGATGGTGTTTGATTCTGGCTGTCGGCTGGGGGTTCTCAGCTCTGTTCACTGTGGGCCTGTCCATGTGATCTGTGGGCTAGGTTGTGCTTCCTCACAGTATGGTTGCTGATTGCTAAAGATAAGCACTGAGAGTGACAGCAAGAGAAACAGGAAACTGTAGCCCAAAGACTCAGCCTTGGAAAGAAGCATAAGCATCATTTCCATCATACTCTGTTGACTGGCACCATCCTGATCCCCTGCCCAGATCCAACAAGAGGGAACATGCATCTCACATGTTGGGGAAGAAGATGTCAGTGATATCATAAGAGATGTGAGATGGGCTATCTCTGGAACCCACCGTCTTCCTGTAGGAGCTTGGCGACCTGATTACCCATGGTTACTAGAACCCTGAAGGAAAGGCAAGAACACAGAGAGGAGGCAGGCACGTTTCTGTTGAACTAACAAGTTTAAGAACCAGTTTTCTGTTCGGGTCAGACAGGCACATGTCTGGTTTAGGCACATGAGTCCAATGTTACCTTTATTAATCCTTCTAACTTCTGATCTTCCTTCCATCACTTAGGTCCCTTAAATTCTGCCTCCTTTAGCTCCAAATTCCAATGACCCTCTGGTTGTGCTAAAACACCACCATGGGACCCTTAATATTTGTTCATTAGGATAAAAAGCATCGAAAGCCCACGATCAACGGAGACTGACCTTGAGACAAGCTCTCGGTCTATAGACTATTTCCCTTTTGTTTCTCAAAGGGGACCAGGGTGTGGAGGACACGTTTCATGGGGCCGATTCACATCCTGCCCTTGTTGGAGGCCCATAATGCTGCTCCACAGACAATTAAGCTGTAATTGCAGCATTCAGATTCCCATTTAAAAGAGATTCCATTCCCTGGGCAGGGGGCAATCATCCAAGTGGCCTACTTTCCTGAGTGGGACCTCAGAAATGCTCCTGTCACACCTGGCTGTGATGGCAACTCTAGTGTTCACATATCTGCTGCACACCCTGCAATGGATTTCAAACTTGGGGATTTTCCTTCCTAACCTATCCCAGATTCTCTCTATTTCCCTTTGATACCTATACCCTCCAAATTCTGAGTCGCATGCAGATGGTGACCCAGGTTTCATTGTTCCTAATGAGCAGAGTAGGGGGTGGGGACTCAAATTGATAATAGGATGTTTGTCCACCTGTCGTCCTGGGTAGAATTATCGGGCCACCAGCTCAGCTGTGCAGGGGATTGATTTTGAATGAATAAACTTATATACTTATAGTCTGAGTCCCCTGTGCCACTAAGTCGTAGAACCTGACATCAAGCAAGCCAGGGTCTCCCTGCTACCCCTCTTTTCCTAGGTCCCCAGTGGCCACATAGACACTGACCTCATAGCATTGGTGGCTGGCTGGCTGGGGGTGGCCTCAGTTCTTCATCCACATCTCTCCACTTAGGATCGTCTTCCTGTCTGTGGGTTCATGTCCCATGAGCCTCTCCACAGCATAGGCTCAGGCCTGGCCTCTCCCAGATACTGCTATGCCCCTTGTGGATAAAAAAACAACAACCCTGAGTTTCCCTCCTGAGCTAATTGGAAACTGAATGGGTCAAGGTCATTCACTACTTTCCTTCATGCAAAATCGTTGAAGTCTCCCTGATTCTCGATGGAGCAATGGAGCAGGGCGAAGCCCCTGAGCCCCACCTGCCTCCATATGCCACACAGGTATTTGTGTTCTCTCATTCCTTCTCTGTGCTGGAGTGTGGACCCCAGAATCTCACTCTCCCTTGGACTAGACTCAGGGAAGCAACTCATGTATTGTTACAACTGCCTTCCCTCCGCAGTCTACTGTGGAGGTCCACAGACCTATTTCGGTTTGGCTTAGACCATAGCATCTGGAACCTTCCTCTCGCCTGCTGAAAAGTGGAGGAGGGTAGGGTGGACCGCTTCTTTCTGATCAAACCCGTCCTAATATGACTGGACCTTGGCTTTTGAAAGTTAAAATTTGACTCTTACACCATGCTGTATCATCTCTTTCTTAAGTACAAATGCAATCAACTGGGGGTGGGGGGAAAGACTGGAGTTTGAAAACACAGAAACAGGTGAAGAGCAGCAGTTGCAAATCCCTGTGCTTCTTTCTCCACTTTTCCAGGTTTCCCAGGATCTTGAAGTATCCCTGACCTTGTGTCCCCAGGTGTGCATCTTACCTGCTGCTCTGTCTCCATCTAGAAACCCACAGCTACTGGCGTTTAGTTCTGTAAACCTGCCTTCCTCCCTGCCCCCCCAAAGATCAGTTTACTGCCACCCATCCACCACCCCACTGTCCCCCCAACCCAACACATGCGTGCATGCGCACACGCGCACTCACACACACACACACACACACACACACACACACGGCAACCAGAAAATTCAGAGTTTAAGTAACACATCAAAGTCACAAGCTGGTAGATGGCAGAAGAGCCTCTGAAGCCCATTGCTATGGACTGAACTGTGTCCCGTAAAATGAATATGCTGAAGTCCTAACCCCCAATGCGATGGTGTTTGAAGACAGGGCCCTCGCTCGGGTCAGATGAGGCGATGAGGATTGGGCCCCAAATGTGATTAGCGCCCTTAGAAGAGGAGGGACAGATACCACAGCTCTTTCTCTGCCATGGAAGCGCATGCAGAAAGATGCAGGTTTCTGCAAGTTTGGAAGCTAATTGGCTGGCACTTTGATTTTGAACTGCTCAAACTTTGTAACTGTGAAAAGTACATTTCCATTCTTTAAGGTATTTGTTACTGATTGTTTCCTGTATTGCCTTTGAACACAGAGGTAGGTCAGCGAAGGGGAAGGAGTCGACAACATACAGGAGTTTTTTCCATTGTGACATTGCCCAACCCTTTCTTCTTTCTCCCTAATTAAACCTTGAAACCTCACCATCGCAAGTTTCCCTGTGGCCTATAACAGATGGAGCTTAAGAGACTGCTGAAGTGTTTTGCTGGTAATGTGCACTCCCTTTTGCTGGACTGGGCTTTACAAGAACAGTGTGGCGAGCACAGCGTCTCCGAGCTGGTAGACGGTGCATCCCTGCTGCATTACAGTTTGTGCCTGAAAGACTAGGAGCTAATAGCACTTAAATAGTAAATGTGCCACTTTATAATTTTCACCATTGAAATTGGAAGGAAATAAGCAAATCTGGGAAAACTACAAGGGGACTGCTTTCCTCGCAATGGTATCATAAGAAAAAGACATTGGGAAAGGGGAGGAATACTTCAGGATCTGCAAAAGGAACTGAATTAGAAAGGCATGTCATCTAATTTTGCCTTTATGACTGCCACAGTTGCTGTCACATTAGCAGGTGGGTGGTTGGGGAGGTATCAGGGGATGAAGAGTTAGGGGAATGCAGTGATGGGGAGAAGAAAAATATCCTGACTTGAAGAAAATTCAAGGGTAACTATGAGTGGTATCTCAGTGTAGGGTTCTATGTTTTGGTGATGCTGCTTTTTCAAGACAATAAAATCCAGGTGTCTCCGGAAAAGCATTTCCTCTTTTATCTTGCTCCCACAGAGGTTGCTAAGACTACTGCTGGGCTGAGGTGAATTTAGTTTGTGCCCTAAGTGAATTCAGATGATTCCCTGAATCACTGTTCACTAGTTCTCAAAGGTAGTCCATGAGCCATGTGTGTCACAATCCCCTGGTGGTATTATTCAAAATGCAGTTTATTGGTCCCAGTCAAAGAGAACTGAATCAGAATCTTTGAGAATGAGGCCTGAGAAACTTGAATTTTTAAGAAGAGTCTTGGAAAATGCTTATGTATACAAGTTTGAGAGCCCTTTTATCCTGGGAATTCTAGTGTTTAGCCAATGACTAGCTCTTAGCAGCCACAAAATAATTACTGCAACGGATGAATAGATGTCCAGTGTTTAGCCTACTTCCTGACACAGGGTAGTGTTTGGTGAATATTCATTGAGGGTTTAAGATAGCTTCTGGTTCATAAGAGGTACCTCCGAATGGAAGGCTCTACCTAACCAGTCAACTAGCTATTGGTCCCTTCACATATCCATCCAACTTTTGGGTTTGTGAGGCACTGGAAGGGGAATCAGTAACATGAATTGGACCTGGGGAGTGAGGATCTAAGTTATTAGAACAGCAGTGCAAGGCCGGGAGGGGGCAGAGAAATGAGGTGGAAACTAGACATTCACTAGGGCCCTGCATGACCATTGCATGAACAGCCAAAGCAGTCAATGAATTAGCAGAATGTGTGCTTATAAATTTGCACTTGCATTGGGGTGGGGCTCGGGGGGGATGGTGGATCTGCTGGACGTGGTGCTGGATTGCAATGACAGGGAGGTAAGAAAATGGATCCGAGACCGAGGTCACCCAGCATATTCATGGCAGGGCAATAGATGAGGAGTAATGAGCAGTGGGAGTAGGTCCTATAAGAAACCCTCTCTCTTCCATTTAATCTTATCTGACTGCCCTCCTCATCCAGCTCTCCAAGGGTCTCTCCAAAAGATAATGTGCTACAACAGTACAGATTCAAGTTTAAGAGGCACATTAAGAGGGGCAAGACAGTAGCAGCAAAGTGCGTAAAGAAAATTTCAAATGCTGTTGGGTACTGCTTTAACTCACGCTCCCCATGACGAGCTGGAGTGGAGTAGACTCAAAGACCCCTTCTGACCCAGAGAGCAGGAACTTATAAAGAGGCTGTACCTTGGAAACTTGTAGCTGAAAATTAAGTCAAAAAGTTTTCCCAATACACTTTCCCCCATTGTATTATAATCATGCTTATTCTGGAAAATTTTAAAAAAAGAAAAGAAAGAAGCTTTTAAAATACCCCCTGATTCCATCTTAATATGCATGTTGGTGTCTTTTACCCAATCTGCTGGCTGTATACATCCTGTATGGTTATTATCATTCTGCATGTGTGGTTTCATGTTCCATCATTCTGTTTTGCTAACCTTATATAATTATCTGTTATTACGTGTTTGTGACAAACAGCATATCAGAGGTTTACAGCAGAGACTCCAGGAATCAGAGAAACCTAGGTTGGCATATGTGCTGCCACTAGCACCTGTATAGCTATGGTTTGTTCTCTATCCTCTATTCTCACATCCTTTTCTGTAAAATAAAACTAAAGCAATCACTACCCCTGGGTGGTTGTGAGGTTTAAATGAGAATATGTGGATGGAGCCTGTCACATAGTGCCTGCCATATGATAAGTGCTCATTAATGGTTTTAATAAGAAAAACAAAGAATTTTAATGGCTGCATTATGGTTTAACTTAACATATGCCCAAACCCCACCCCTAGTTAATCTCTGCAGCAAAGCACGTCTTTGGGCCAAAAATGTTTTTATGTGTTTCATGTCATTTTGCTGCATTTAATGTATTATTTTTACTGCATTTACTGCATTGAATGTGTTATTACTGCCAATAAGAGAAACCTAACTAAAAAAAACTACTTTAAGCAAAAAGAGGCAGATATACTGACTCACATAATGAAACTGGGACCAATAAATGTGGGCTGTCTTCAAAATGACTGGGCTCTGGGACTCCATCATCTTGAGTCTCCATTTTCATCTCTTCTCTTCTTATTCGCTGGACCAGCTTTTCTGAGGCCGGAGACGTGGTCTCAAGCAGCTGCCAGCTAACATCCTTAGAACCTCATGGAAAGGGAGGAAAAAGCCTTTCCCTATGTAGCTTCAGATTTGAGTGGGAGGTAGGGGAGAGTGGGACACGGAGGGGGATCTCTGCCCTTATGTGAGTCTCATGTCCATTAGCTACTCTCAGGGAACCCATTACTGTGTTGGCGTGGCAAGCGCCATGGCCTATGGGGTAGAAGAGGGGTGTGATTGACAGCTCCCTGCAGGAATGATATGGCACAATCCAACCCAGTAATCTAAAGACTGTGTCCTTAGGACAGACTCTCAAGTATGGAATTGTTGGATCAGGGTCATTGACCTTGCAGAGACCTAATGTATATATATATTGCTCAATTTTCTTGCTTCCTGACTTTTTGGTAGGTTTTCCCTGGGTTCCCATCCTTTGGTTGCTAGCCCACTATCAGTGGACAGCCCTGAACCTCTGCAGGCCCCTGCCTATTGTTGCTCAGGGTTGACCCGCCCGCTTAACCCATTGCTCCCACTGTCCATCTTCAGTGTCTAACCCGACTCTCAATCCTGGTACTTCTGCCCAGCTCTGCCCTTAGGATATAAAACTCTGGACTTCACAGGAAAAAATATGGACATTCTCAGAAGTGTTTACCTAGGAAATAAATAGGCTACTTTTAAAACCAGGAGACCGCAGGACATTAGGTCCTTGAGGTCAGTGATAATGGCTGATGCATCTCTATGCCCCTGGCTCTGAGGAGTAAGTCCTGCAGCCTCACACAAGGGCCCTCCCAGTCTGGAGGAAGCTCGACTCTAAAGGAAGAGCAAACTTTCCTGATAGTTATGGAGTGTCTGTGTAGTGATTGACTGCCATCTTCCACTCTGCTTGGTTGAAATCAATAGGAGACTTAATGAAGTGAAAATGAAATCAATATTTAATTCCCATGGGTAAGAGATACTTTCATGGCCTACGCTCAACTGCCAACTTGCCCCAATTCCGAAGGCTAATAAGAGCTGGGCCATTGCGGGCTCCCAGCCAAGGTACCTGCAGTTTCTTTCATAGTGATTCACTGCATTCCTACTATGTGTCAGGAGTTCTGAGTACATGTTTACCACATCCACACAATAATCCCGAGTGATTGGTTAACTGAGTATTAAATAGGTGGCACATAAATTGCTAAATACTTTAAATATATTATCTCATTTAAGCCTTACTCCCGTGCTCTGAGATCTATGATCCTGTCTGATTCTACAGATGAGGAAACTAAGGCTCAGAGAAATGAAGAAACTTGCCCTGTTAGAATACTGTAGAGCCAGGATTTGAGCCCAGGTCTGGCTAATTCCATACCCTGAGTGTTTATCCACTGGTCTTTACCACCTCACATGTCACAGATGAGGAGGCTGAGGCTCAGAAATGACATTGCAGGCCACACACAGCTGGTAAATGAATCCCCATGCTTTACTTCACCTTCAAAAGCTCCTTTGAAGTTAAATTTCAATAGTCCTATCTGTCCTACATTAAGAAGCTACAATGAATCAGGCTCTGTACTCAATCCTTTAGGGAATCTAAATTTGAAGACATAGCCCTTGTCCTTATAAGA